CGCGAACGCACACGTGCATGCATGTGTCTGTGCGCATATATACATATGCATTTATACATACATATAGATGTAATAAAAGGGTATAATCAGTTATCATATTCCTTCCTTCCTGACAGCACAGATATTTTGTTTTCAATTGTATACATCATTTATGTGTTTAATAATAAATATATGCAAGTTAAGCCTTTATTCAGTACCAGACTAAGTTGTGGTGTGGCCTTTGTAACAAGAAGATACAGAAGCCCAGTTTGCCAAATTTTGACATGAAAAACTAAAGGTAGGCCAGCAGCTGAACTGACCATAACAGTTACCTGTATGTTCCAAAAGTTAAATTTGTATATATCTTAATATATAAGAATACGGGCAACAACTTAAAAATTTGAAAGAACCTTCAAACTTGTAAAACCATAAACTGTAACTTCTTCAGCCTTTCTAAATCTGGCTCTGACATCATTCACTGTTACTGCATTGCAAATCAAACAGCAAGAAAGAAATACAGCTGACAAGAAGTTTTAGAAAAAAGTTTCCTTCATAACCATGAGGGCATCAAACTGTAGGCACATTTCATAGGGCACATTTCATAGTCACAACCATACTACATGTACATTGTATTTAAAACAGCAGTAATCAGTGAGTCTTAGCAAGTCTGACTTATTTTTTCTTTTTTATAAAGCGGACACATAGCATCTACATTACTGTGAATCTGATCATCACAGTTACTTGATTATGTAATAATCTTTTATACATCATTGTCTTTGAGAACCTTACACATTCTTGTAGAATAATATTTCATCTAATCATTATGGGTATGCAGCGAAAAGACACCTTTGACAAGTACAGTAAACTTCCTACATCCCATAAAAAGATGTATAATATAAATAAATATAACAAATATAACATAAAAGAATAAAATATAGAAGGCAACCAACTGATGTCAGTTTATGGGAACCGTGATGACAAAAATGATTATCCAATAATAAATCATTACCAAAAATCATTAAGACAATTACATTATGATGAGTAATTAAAAGTCACAGTATCAAACTTAGCAATGCATTTGCCCAATAACAGCAGAGACATTAATGACATCCATAGTTATCAAGATATATTTAGACAGCTGTCTGTGAAGGACATCACTGATAACTCCTGTCCTTAACTACAGAAGGACAGAAAAGGACAGAGCTACAAGTGCTCATAAAACAGATAAGGGGAGACTCAAAACTTTCTAATGAGTGAAACAAAAAAATTGCCATCTTTTGTCCTTCACATATCTCAGTATGACAGTTACTGTATACTGCCCTTAAGAAGTTAATAATGCACAGAGATAGCATATGCACCATCTGTTATGTATAAGAATTTGCATGATATAATAAACCTGAGAGCATAAATCACTATCATAGTGCCCTAAACAAGCAAACCTTTTTATATATTTCTTAGTGCTAATGACAAAGAGTGCTACATGCACACTGACAAACAGAAATATTCTGTTGCATGATCAACTACACATTAATGTGGTATCTGAAACTAGTGCACTTGGAAACAACTTATATAATATAATTATATCTACCCTGTATTTTTCCATGAATATTTATCTTTCAATATAAATTCTAACACAATTTTCAATGGACAATAACTTAAGTCTACCTTCTCTGTTAAAGAATTGATCATCAGCATCTAGTCGTGATAGAGTAATTTTTAAAGTGCAGAAAACATTTAATAATTTGATTCAATATACCAATATCTTAAACTACACAAAGACTAGAATTAGTATGTTACTCAGTGTATTTTTAAATTAGTTAAATTAAAGCTTTGCAAGTAATATAAAAGTAAATAAAAACTAAAATACATTTGATCTGAAATACATGAAAACATTTGATGTATCTCCCATGTTTTAAATTTCACAATCATTTTTGATCAGTGGCATAAATGAATATACCATTTAACCATCAATTCTTGAATACAGATTTCTCTAACAACCTTCCAAAAACCTCTTGATATGCTGGAAGAGGCTAAACTCCTGTCAGTCACTTCAAACTTTATGGCCACCCAATATGTTATGCCACCCGTGCATCCACAGTTGGGTTCAAAAAGTGACTCTCTATTGGTCACTGGGTGAACATTCAACTTTATATAGGCATTTTAATTCTAAGGGAATTATAATTATCTCTATATTGGAAAAGATTGGAGAACGTGTCATGTTGTACAAGCGTTATTTACCCCAGGGGGCCACATTTCACCTTAGTATACAGTATGCAGGCCAGATAATCATAAGTCGATGTGATGAACCGGCCATATAGTTGATGTAAAAACGTAGGAGGCTATTTCATTCATTACAAAAACACAATAATAGAAAAAAAAAATGTAAGAGTGCAAGTGATAATCTTAAAATATGAAGAACTGCCTTTATTAATCATGCAAAAGAGCCAGCTGCACGACTGAAATGGCAAATGTGCCGTGGGCCGCACAGAGGAGTGTGGTGGGCTGTGTGTTTAACACCTCTGCCCTAAGGTATATGAAGCCTGCAAGCCCCTTGTGAAGTGAAAATAAAGGTCTTATGAAACTTAAAACATTAATGTCCTTCAAGCAATAGGATAAACAACAAAATAAATTCTAAAAGGTTACCAAAATTTGCAGGGCCATCAAATGCAAAAGCCTACACAAAAGCACATTCAGCTTGTTAGGAATTTATTGATACAGAATTGGTATCATTAGAGAAATGTTGGATGTCTGACAAGGCATTAGATCAACCGGGATGACTAAATTAGCAACCATTTTTACCCAGTTAATCCCAAATACAGAGCTGATGTTCGATAACATTAGTTAAGAGAACAGCCAGTATGTATTCCTAATCTGCACGCTTATTATAAGAATAAATGGATATATGGATATAGCGCATACCTCTCACATCCCCACATCTCTATAGAAATAATCCGTCATGCCTTCTTATAAGCCTAGTAATCAGTAAATAAACTGCATCATGGAATATTATTGTTGTTTCACTCACCCTGAGTAATAACGTATCTACTGAAGATGGTAATGATGATAGTAGATAATAATGTAAAATGTTAAATTTTACACTCTTGGGACAAATAAGAACAGAAAACAAAGTTATCAACCAAATTAAGCTCATCCACCAAGCACCAAGAATGACACTGATGCATCTTCCTCATAAACATTATTCATCTCCAAGTAGCCTTAACAGAATTTATAATTAATGATCTCAGATTCTTTTTTTCAGCTGTTCTCATCAACCTGCATATATTTTGTCTGGATTCATAATATCTAAGTCTTCTCAGAATATATCCATCTCACATAACTCCAAAATCATGAAGATCTATTCTTCTTGGATTTAACAATGTTTATGTGACAAATGTAGGTAAAATTATGACTTGAGAATGAAAGTATCTGATGCGTTTCAATTACATTTTTATCAGAAATAAATGTTTCTGCTGGATATATAATTAAAACATGTCCTATACATTTCCTGCACAGTAAAAATATTTATTCTCATTCATACCTTTCTCTACATTCTTCATCGGTTAACAGCAGATGATATTTTGATGTACCCGACAGAAATAATTCAAACATAAGAATGTTTAAGAAGGTTGATTCTACCGAAGACGGAAAAATAGTAACTTTTTTTTTATACAATCATTTCTATACTATTTTTAGTAACCTTTATATATAATAAATCATATAAATAACAAAACAGAGGTATACTGTTGACAGTGAAAATGAGAACCACAATAAATTAAATTTGGCAGTCAAGAGTGTTTGAATCTCAAGCAGATATATCAACTATGGCACCCAAAAATTTATAAATTGCACATGTAAAAAAAAAAATCAAACTGAATATACATCTTTTAATCTTGTACTATGTAATCTATTGATAAATACATCCTCTTCTACATATCATTAATGTGTTACAGCAAGATATTAATTTTCTCTTTACCCGTCTCTTTCATGCGTTTCTTATCTCTCTAGCTTTCTTTTTCTTCTGTCATTCCTCTATTTACTACTCTCCCTCTTTAGCTTTCTCTATCTTTATACTTTTTCTCTAAAGCTCTTCAAACTACCACCATTTCTACCCAGCTGAACAAAACTATCTTCTCAACAGTTACAATGCTAATTCTTCTTTAAAGCTAATTTCAGACACAAATAGTACAGTGAATAATCAAACTAATAGCTATGATGAAAATGTTACAATGAATTTTAAGGAGTTAGCGCCCAGAACAGAAAATACTGAAGTCAAGAAAAGGTTTCCAGTTACGAACTTTTCTTACGAGACGAGAAGCAAGATTAAGATGGTATGGACATGTTATGAAAGACAATAACAGAAGCAATGGACCATAAAGTTTATGGTAGTAGAGGCAGAGGAAGAATGAGAAAGAGATGGAGAGATGTAATACAAGAAATTCTGTTTTCTAAAAACAGTAAAAACACTAATCAGTGGTTAAAAAACAGCTGAGCAGGCGATCCCATCCCAATGTGGGATAATTTTCTGCCAAAAAGAATTGGTAGTGATGATTGTGACTGATTGTAAAGAGTATTACATATATTTGTTAAAGTTTCATGTCCAAGCATCTTCAACAAAGAAATCTTAAATTCATCACACAAAAAATTCATACAGATCTTGAATACTTCACAGCTTTCATAAAAAGATAATATTCACCATCACCTATTTCCCTTTCAGGAAACTGCAGTGTTTGTGTGTAAAACTCACTGCATCAATCATCTTCATACATATTTGTATCCTCCTTTGATAGTAATCCCTTTTGGAAGAAAACTGGAGTACAAAACCTCTTGACCTGGCCTAATGACCATGAAATGGCCCATGTAAAGGCACTTAAGACCTGAAGTGGGCTATTAATGGATGGATGGATGGACATTCAGATAACAAGACAAATATGCATAAAGTATAATCAATACATGCACAAATATATCCCTGAATATATATATGCATATAGCAGTATGCATATATATGCATCTAAGTATGTGTTTGTTCGTATACTTGCATACATCAGTGTTATATACATTACATATGTATATAAATACAAATGAACGTACTATACAGGACATGAGCAAGTACAGTTGTAAGCATAAATCTGTATGCATTGAAAATGTCCTTACAAAAGAGTATAAATTTGTGTCCAGTTCTATTTCCTTTTCTTGTACTTGCATAAATACAACTGGTACCACAAAAAACATCTCAAACACACATGCTCTTTTAAACCTGAAATAACATGTCACCTAATTTTGTTCAGTAGATCAATGCATCTACATTGGAATTTTTGTCCAGTAAAAATAGTGAACCAACACTGGCTTTACACTTAAATGAAAAATGCTGCCTAGATGAAAAACATACATCTAATTGGCCTCATCACAAGTCCATAAGAGAACTTGTAATCCACAACCTTTTCATAAATGCTTTTCTTAAAAGCCAATATAAACATTTAATATCAATATCAAAATACCTTGGCAAATCTAAATCACAACAATAAT